TTATTTTATTATTTTACTCACAAGGTCGAGGCTGCAATCCCTTTTTGTCGAATGGAAACCTACTTGTTACTGGGTGTATCGGCCTTTTAAAGGTATTCAATAGGTTAAAAGGACTGGGTGAGCTATGATCAGCCATAACTCAAATATAATGCTAATAAATGAAATCAAGTCTTTTGGTAAGTGCAAAACTGAATTGGCTATATGGACTGTACTGGCCATTTAAATGTTGGTGGTAATAAGGACTGATTGAGCTATACTCTATATACTATACTATACTTGGCAAGTGCAATACTACAAAACTACATATTTTAACTGGTAAAAGGTGGGTTGGTTGGCACAGAGCAAGCAAAAAGAATGAGGATAATTGCAAGAGAGACACTTCCTTTATTTTATTTATAGCCTAACCAGCTGTGAATCATGTTAATTAAAGACTACAGTCTGTTTTCCAAATATAAACAAGGATATTAAACATATAGGCCTGCCAAACACAAATTTCATCTGCAACAACAGGCTAATTTTATTGCTTATAATAACATTTTGTCAGGCCTGATGAACTGCAAACAATTTAACTGGGATTATTCTGTTAGAGGAAACATTAAGGTTTCACAAAGACATACCTTTGCTACCACGGAAATAAAGGTGACGCTTATTTTCACATATTATTGGCCTGCTACCAACTGAAAATGACTGACGGAGCACACTGATCCAACGGTCGGTGTTGGTTGAAGTCGGTTGGAGTCGGTCGCCGTTTGTCGGGGCAGTGTGCAAGCAGCTTTAGAATAAAAAGTACCTCATTACTGTGAAAGGCTTCTTTCAGCATTTGATGTTGAGTTTGAAGTCCAGTGATGTCTGATATGTTTTACTTTTTCTCATCATGAATGTGAATTCGGTGGAGTAAAGTAAGCCTATGAAGTCCCTCATAAGTGTTAAAGTATCCATGTATTATGTTGTTTGTTGTCTGTTTATCAAAACTAGATACCATGTTAGGCAGAGGTGGAAGCAACCATTTAAATTTACTCTTATTCCTGTAACAAAGTCTGAGTCAGTTACTTTTCAAATAAGTTTAAATTAACAGTAATCAGTATTTTACTTTAAGTACCTTTTTTATTTTAGTAGAAGTATTGTACTTCCAGAGTAAAAACAAAAGTTAGATGAAAAAGTCCTGATAAACCAGTTCACAAAAAGTGACATTGACGAGCTACTTTCTGCTCACGGCTGCATGATCTTCTCCCTCGTCTGCCAACAGAGAGAGAACGGGAACAGGTGAGCGTCACATTGCACCCAGAGAACCTGATACAGAGAGGGCAGAGGCGAGAAAAAAGTCCCGTCCCACTTCAAGCTGCTCTGAACAGTTTCATAGTATGAACCTAGACTGTTATGTGAGACCGTTTGGATGTGTAGAAGAACACAGAACATGAATTAACATCTGATCAAGTTAGCAAGTTATGCTGCTACATGCGTAAATATGCACAGGGAGACACTTCACCCTGTTTCACCCAGCCGCTATTCAGTGTTCATTTTTATGATCCTGCCTGCCCATCAACACATCCCATTCAACAATAACAACATCAGTTGACCTAATTAGAAATGTCCCGATTCGATATTAATGAACAAAAGACCACCGTAGAGTCCTGCTCCCGCCATGGGGTTGGATAGTCCAGCTGCATGCCACTCCTCTTTTCAACATCATGGCTGGCGAAAAGACTTCCGCAAAGAATGCATCGCTGTATCCTCGATATAGCTCCTCCAGCACGCCTCCTCGCTCCTCATTTTTCTACATTTTAAGCATTGAGCTGTTGATCAATTTGTGGGTCACAGGCAGGAGGATGGAGGAGACGAGGAGGCACAAAATGGGAGAAAGGTGACTTCTAAATTTACCTTTACATATAGTGAGTTGAGCACAGCCTTTCTGCTGTTTTTTGTCTGTTCCTTTACAGGAACAAATGTTAATTTAGCTCAAAATGTTTTTGCGAACTTTCTGTGTAATAGTTCACAGAATGTCATTTAGGCTGTGAGAAGAAAAACAACAAAGTCACTGATGGATGTAACTCACTATCCAGAGGAGAATTTCACAAAACAACTGCGTTAGCGTTTTTCTCTGTGTGTTTGCCGCCCGGATGAAGTGACTGAGGGGCAGTAAAAAAACGGCAAGGGGTCAAATCTTTTTATATATTAAAATAGTAGGTTATCATCCTGATATGCCAATTTCCACATTTGTTTTTCTCCTGCAGGTGGCAATACAGCGCCATTTTAACTATAGTTGCAAACAATTCAGTAGTACATAAGGGTTGGTCTTGTGCAAACGTGCAGCAGAGTCCTGACCAATTGTCTGTATATGGCTATGTGTGTGTGAGTGCGAGTGATATGTATGAGTCATGTTACCTTAAGATGTTAGAATCAATTAGATCATTTAATTTAGTTAATGATAGCTTTGTGTCTTTTTTTGTGTTGGGGCAGTCTTTGGCCACACTTCCCTGGATTGCAACTGCTGTTTTGGATCTGCTTGATGTCTTTATTTTCTCATGATTGATTTTGGCTCCTCCAATCAGCTGATCTCCACTTGGCCGCTCCAGAACTGTCAGACTTACATTTTGTGGGCAGCTTTTAAAAGTGAACTTGTAATACAGCTGCCCATACTTACAAAACATGTCAAGTATAGATATGTATTATTTGGTTGGATGCATTGGTAAAACGGCCGTCAGTAAAATGCGTGTTGCAGACTGTGTATAAGACGGTGGCAGGTGAAAGTGCGACACCTCAAATTTCTCCAATAAGGAATCACCTGATTCAATCTGCACATGCTCAGTTTAGTCCTTATTACACATGGGGAAAAGTGTCACCCTGTGGCAGCACATACAAGTTTAGAAAGAAAAATAATTTTAAGGTGAGAAAGATTTTTTTTGTTGTTATTTTTGTTACAGCATTGGCTGCTTTGTTCCTAAATCATGTTTACTGTGTGTCTGTGTAGATATCTTTCTTGCAAGTTGTTAGTGCTAATGTTTTAGCCATACGTAAAATGTTTAGTTGTATTTATCTGTTTTATTTTAAATTCAGTTTGTGTGTGACACAGTAAGGCTTCATTATTATAATTACTTATAATTATAATGTATTAATTATTATGTTCAGATGTTAGTTTAAGACCTGAAGGCTTCTCTGTGAGCCAATGAGGCCTCCAGAAGAGCCACAAGTCTGTCACCAAGATAAACACAAACACTGGTGCACAAGTTGTTAACTTTTATTATTATGTTCATTACTATGTCACTATTATTACTGACAGTAACTACGATACTTGGATCACCCCCACACACACTAGTTATTTTTAAATAAGGGTTAAAACTACAGCTGTTACAAGTGCTGTTAGTATAATGTTTTATACTAGAACTACTAGTACTGTAACACATGTAATAATACTACTGCTGTAGAATGATTTCATTACTTTTCATGTAGAATTATAATAAGTTGTTTTATAGACTCTGTAAAAGGCAGCAGGTTTGATAGTTTTCTTGTTCTTACTACTGTGAAAGGTGAAAGGTTTTCTTACCTACAAAGCTCTTAATGGTCAGGCACCATCTTATCTTAAAGAGCTCATAGTACCTTACTACCCCACCAGAGCACTGCGCTCCCAGAATGCAGGGTTACTTGTGGTTCCTAGAGTCTCCAAAAGTAGACTAGGAGCCAGAGCGTTCAGCTATCAAGCTCCTCTCCTGTGGAACCAGGTTCCAGTTTGGGTTCAGGAGGCAGACACCATCTCCACATTTAAGAGTAGGCTCAAGACTTTCCTCTTTGATAAAGCTTATAGTTAGGGCTGGCTCAGGTAGTCCTGAACCATCCCTTAGTTATGCAGCTATAGGCTTAGACTGCCGGTATGATGCACTGAGCTGCTCTCTCCTCTACTTTCTCTCCCTCTGTATGCAACCTCATCCCATTATTACATGTTACTAACACATCTTCTCACCTTTCTGGTAGTCTTGTGCTTTCTTGTCTCTCTCCTCTCTCCTATCACTTCCTGCAGGTGTTTCTAGCTCCGGAGCTGTGGAGTCTGGATCTGTGGGTCACCTGCTGCCCCCGTGTTCCTGCTCGACACCCTCTGCTGCAACGACTATTGTTACTAGTCCTATTGCAAATATTGCTGTTATTGTTATCATTAATATTACAATTATTATCATTAACAGCCGCCCACCCTGAGCCATGGTTCTGCTCGAGGTTTCTGCCTCTTAAAAGGAAGTTTTTCCTTGCCTCTGTCGCCTAGTGCTGCTCTTGGTGGGAACTGTTGGGCTTCTGTAAATAACATCACAGAGTACGGTCTAGACCTGCTCTTTTATGAAAAGCGCTGTGAGATAACTGTTGTTGTGATTTGGCGCTATATAAATAATAAAATTGAAAGATCAAATATAACTGGAGGGTCTTTATCTGAAACAGGGATCTAGATGACCACAAAATAAGTTCACACATTTCAGCACAAAAATAGACAAACACATCCCCATCAGCTAAAGCAGATCAAACTATAGTGAGAAACCACACCAGCGTCAGACCTCAGTTCACTGGAGGAACAGGAGGAAGTTGCTGCTGTGGTTTAGATGCAGGTGCACAACCAAGTGTCTTTGGTCTGCTGAGTGCATCTTTTACTTTACTTTATTCAGTTAATTTACCTTTTATTTACAATAAAACAAACAGATCAACTATGTTTAAGACCCAACAGTAGAACTGTCTCTACATGTTGATGTATTGGGTGTGAGCAGAATGTATAGAGATCTGTAAATCCGTACATTTATAATTTATATGTCATCCTTCAAGTGTTAAAAGAAAACAGTAAACTGGACGACCACAGAGCACAAAACCAACACTGTCATTAACCTAAAGAGACCACAATGAGTCTGAAAACTATGATTTTAAATTTGATTTATTTTGATGAACATTTATATCATCTCCTCATTTCAGAAAAATGTCCTCACAAGGTCTAAAATTCAACTTGGTCCTCACACATAAGAATAGGAACGCACACTCACTGTCCCTGAAAACCAGAATCAATAAAACATTGTTACCTCTGCTGCGTCTGATTGGCTGATGTAGGTCTGTGATGTCATCATCCCCAGCTTCTTCTTCAGCAGCTGAATGAACCAAAATGAGCAGAAATTTAAATCAAGGAAGATCATGTGTTCAAAAGCTCCACAGCTCACTAAATGGACCCTGTGGTGAGATTGTTTTATTAACAACAGCAATGTGATTTATGAGAATCCTGATGGACGTCTGACTTAAAGAAACAGTTTGTAACTTATTATTTGTACGTCCAGAAGTGTTAATGGAAACTTTAAATGTGAACTGCATCACATGGATTAACAAGTGTTAATAGAAACATCTGTGTCCAACCTTTAGGTTTCCTGTGGAGGCATCGTCTCACCAGTAGAACCAGAACACGAGAGATTGAACAGCAGACCAGAACACAGAGAGATGAGAAGACGAGGAACCAGGAGGAGAGGTGGTTGAAGCAGGACTTGTAGTGGTGGGTTTCTCTAAAATGAACAATTATAATTAAAAGGCACAGAAAATAAAATAAATTGATAAATTATTCAACAGCGTGCTAACAGAAAGACAAAGTGAATTCATAATGTCCGTCTGGTTTAAGTAGAGTATCAAATGGCGGGTTAAACTCAGAAACAGATTTCACTCTTGTTTCTTTGCAGATTGCAAAGTTAGAAATGTTGTCACATCATGAGTCATCTCTGCTGTCCTGAACTCAATGTACTCAATGTAGAAAACAAAACCAGGTCATTTTGAGAATTATCTTTGAGCGCCTCACCTGTGACAGAGATCCAGCTGGATGGAGACTCTCCACGACCTCTGATGTTACACTTGTAGAGGCCTTCATCAGACTTGTTAACATGGTGGATGGTCATGTGACCTGTAGGCTCAGTCCTGATGAGGGAGCCATCTTTATAGAAACCAGCTGGGAGGTTGGAGGGAGGGGTCTTTGTTTTACAGTGCAGAGTGACATCATGTCCCTCCATCACAGGGAGGACAGGACTCTGCAGGATCACTGGTCCACCTCAACACAGAGACAAACTACAGCATTCAGACAGCCCTTCTTCACTCGTGTTCCTCCTCAGCGTCCATCCAGCAGAGCTGTCGTCCTCCTCACAGCTCAGAGAGACAGACTGTCCTTCAAACAGCTGAGAGCTGCTGGGACTCACAGTCAGAGAGGCTGGAGGGACATATTTACATTTTTAGCTAAATGACCAGATGTCTCACAGTGAAAGCTTGACACTTTGTTGGGAACGACAGTATAGACTAAACTAACCAGCACCATGTGGTTACTAACACACTGGGCAACAGTACTTTTCCCCCCTAGCTTGGACATCAGTGGCACAGTTGGACTAGTCTTTATTTTTATTATTTGTTTTCAACCAGCCCAGAGAGGTTAGCTTGGTAATAATTCATTAATAATTATGAATGATAATAATTCAAAATGGAAATTAGTAAACATACCATTGATTTATCACTATGTCTTAATACAGTAAAGATATATGACAGAACATGATGCAGTGAGGCTCTCAGATATTCTGTGTCACTTTCAGGTATGTTTACTTCTGTAGATCAACTTTTCTCGTTTAATACCACCCCTGCTGACTCAACACACATGATTTAGTCTTCCCTCTTTTGTGTCTTTGTTTGGGGGACGTAACCTCTTTACACATGCACACATTACTCCCAACACAACCCCTTCTCATCTCAGGCGTCACCCATGCTTTGAGACATCGTAGTTATTTTACCAAAAAGTTCCTTTCAGCGGATGAAACGATGCAGTTTGCTGGTGCATTGCAACACAAAGGAGGCTAACCCTACTGTGTGCACAGCTGCAGAGTTTGCTGGTCGACATGCATATTTATAACGTTACACGATGGCGGCACATGCAGATGCAACGGCCCCTCGCTGTTGACCTTGATATTAAATGACTTAGCTTTAGGCACAAACTTCTGTGATGGTTAAGGTTAGGGTAAGGCGCTTCGGGGGACTGTCAACGCCTTAAACATAAACTTCGTTAGTGGCCGGAAGCGCTACTAGTGTCAAATACCGATGCGCCTGGAGGCGTCTCATACACACACCGAAGGATACCTTTTGCGTCAAATAACTACACTTTGCCACCCTTTCTCCAAGCATGGATATGTGACGAGAGATGTCTGAGAGAAGAACGGGCTGCCCAACAACAACATATTTAGGGTTCCTACTCTTTTCTAGAGATCATTTTCCAGGACTTCTGATTTTAAGGCTGTGCAGTCTATGGCTATAACTTAACTATGAAATAATTGAAATAACTGTTGCTTATTTTCTTTTTACCGTTTATTTATTGCCTTGTCTTAATGCTATAATATTGTTAGTTTTTATAGTATTGCCTTTGTATTATGTTTTGTTTCTTTTGGAAAGTGTTTGTCACACTGTGGGGGTGTCTGCTCTGTTTAGTTAGTTAGTTCTCAGTCAGTTTGTTTGTTTTTAGTCTTTTCTGTATCTGTTATTTTGTCTCTGTTTTGTGTTTCAGTCCTGTCTGTGTGTCTTGTTGGGGGGTCTGTTTGTGTAGTTCTGGTCCGATTTGTTTAGTATTATTCTGATTTTGATTGTTCTGCTTTAGTCTGTTCTCGTTACTCAGTTTATTATTCAGTTTGCCTCTCTGGCCTGTTTTAGTTTTGTCCTATTATGTTTAGTTTATTTCCTGCATTCAGATTTGCTTCTGTCGGTTCCCCCAGCAATTCTTCTGCCTGCTTTTCTGCTAAGTGCTCTGAGTTCCAGTTAGTGACTTGTCTTGTGTTTTGCATCTGTTAGTATCTGTCTTTTCTCCGCTGCTGTCACTCTACCTATCTGTGTGCTTGATTTGTCCCTCATGTCTTTCACCTGTGTATCCCCTCCCAGCTCGTTAGCCCATGTGTATATATGATTGCTTCTTTCCTTAGTCTGTGTCTGGTCATTGTAGCGTGTATACGCTCTGGCTCGTTTTATAGTGTTTAGCCTGCATTGCTCATCCTGTTTCCCTGCAAGAGCTTTTCTTTTTAACCACTGCTGTCTGAACACCAATAACTGAAGGACCACAGTGATGTTAGATAACAGCCTACAATTTTGCTGACAAATCCCAGCATTCTTTTGAACCTTACTAACATCACTGTGGTCCTTAGTCCAAATGCAGCAATTTCAGACATGTTGCTCTGTACGTCCGTCGAACAGTACAGTCAAAAACGGGTACTACTTCATAGGTGTGCAAATATTTATTCAGTTCATTTTTACACAATTTTCTCAACAATAAAATATTTGAAATCATTGTTTCTGGCCAGAGTTGAAACGCAGACCTTTACCTTTGTAGGCAAATCAAGCTAGCAAGCAGATAAACAGCAACTGAACCAAACATGTTAATTATTTAACATTATTATTGAAATAATAAACTACCACTGTTACCAGCCAGCAGTCACTAATATTTATATTAGTCAATCCCCCTATAATGTTAGGGGTGGCTGTGCCAGGAGGTAGAGCGAGTTGCCTACTAACTGGAAGGTTGGCAGTTCAATCCCAGGCTCCTCCAGGTACCTTGGGCAAGACACTCAACCCCAAATTGCCCACAATGACTGCATGAATATGTAATTCTGCTTGGGCTTAGTGCATGAATGGGTGAATGCGATGTAGGGTAACAGTGCTTTGAGTGGTTGGAAGACTAGAAAGGCGCTATACAAATACAGAGGATTAGCATTTATTTACCCTTGGAGGATAATGCAACTTACTGGGGCTGACCCCAAATAGTCGAAGATTCGATGCTTCGATAGGCGGAGCCTGATTCGACTGTCAATCTCACAGTTTCATGCCATTTTGGCGTTATGGGAGTGCTCAATGTCTTCAATGTCTGTCAAAAACAGAATTACTAATATATATATACATAGTAGCTTTCTGTGACCTGTTCATTGGTCTCTTGTACCAATAAATCCTTTTCCTCCACAATCCTCCTGTTATGTCAACTATAATGCACTGGACCTTCAAACGACTTAAAACGTGTAAACGTTTTAAACAGCAGTTTAGCTTTGGCTCCAGTCTACTTGTATTTGTAAAGTGTCTGTTTCCCTCCCCAAACACTGTCCTAAACACTAACTGTTCTATCAGGGAGTGAATAACTTTTCAGCTGTGACAGAAGAAGTTTGCTCACCTTGGTTTGTTGTGCAGCTCAGCAGTGAGGTCAGAACTAAAGAGAAAACACACTCAGGTTGGTTTGAGGTTTTACATGAAACAAGACATCTGGACTTTCTACAACACAGAACATCCTGCTTGTAGTGAACAGAAAAACAGCCACACAATGAACTGAAGAAGTCCTTTGGATAAGGGACGAAACGTCTTCCAGTAGCTTCAACCAAGTCCAGTTGCCCTTCATTTTAACCCTCGTTGGATAGCCACACATTGATATTAGATATAAAAATAACAAATTTTATTTATTTGAGGACACATTCAGTGTAACATGTAAATGAGTCAAGTCAGCTTCTATTTTACCCACATTCATTGCATTTAAAACATAAGTACTCTGTTTGCAGGGTTGTTAAACATGTTTGCACTGCACTGTAAGCAGGTCACATTCTCATCAGGAGCTGAGTCCACCTAAACTAAAGGTCTGATCGAATCGCCCCGGTGAAAACAGTAAAAAAGGGCAACCAGAACCTGATTTTAGGTGTCGACCATTTCAGATGAACAGAATTTTAAAACTACACACTGTTACTGTAGGCTGACACATTATTGCAGATTTAAGCAGCCATGTACCAGTTTGGTGATCACACAGTTTCAACATGGCACAATCGTATTTCATTACTTGTTACAGATAAAAAGTACGGTTTATTATGACTTATTAGTGTATTTTAGAAAAAAAGTGACTAATTTTGGTTTTTATTTTTGTAGCACTTCAGCGTATTAAATACTAGGGCTGCAAGATATGGTAAAGAAAAAAATCATATTGTGATAATTCACAATTAGGGCTAATTATCTTTTTTACATCACAATTTTAATGTGTTTGGGTCTGAACCAGACAAACATGTTTTCTTCTGGAGGACATGATCTGTAGGACGGGGACTCTCTGCAGCACCACAGTACTTCATTTTACTGTTACGTTGTTTTGTCACATCAAAGAATTGCACCTTCTGTGATTTGCACTTGGCCACACTGGGATTTCAATAATATTTTGATTAACTGTGCAGCCCTAGTAAATATTTTTTTGTGTGATTTTCTTTCTCTCTTCTATTTTAAAGCAAAACTACTATATATGGTATTTCGTTAGAATAACTGCACATTGTTAACAATTAAAAATGACACTTAACACTTTGTTGCTGCCATATGCCATATTTCTTCTTCTCTTGCTAACGCGTATTTGGTCTGTTGATGGTATTTGGCTGAATTCAGTCTTTGTATTCACATTATTCACTCTAAAACTAATTAAAAACACCACAAATGTGTTAGAACTAATCTTTGATACGACGTTGAGACAAACATTCACACATTAAGTAGATTTTTTACTTACCCAGCAGCCGCGGTAAAGATGGTTCCTCCATTTTAAATGTTGGTCATCTGAGATCAACACATTAAGGTTCACCGCTCACACCAAGTAAAACCCACCTCTTCCTCTTTCTGTATTTCTGCTACTGATGAGGTTTTCTCTCAAGCACATAGCAGGAAATAGGTTTTACATTTAGTGTCAGTGAGTCTCAAAGTGAACAAAATAACAACTGAGAATCTCTTTAACAGCCAGATAAACATTGAAGTGGGGTTCACCTGGACAGGTAACTGATCTATCACAGCCACAGGGCCGACACACACTGAGAGA